AAATCTTTAAAAAAAAAAATAAAAATAAAAAAATAAATGGTGCTAGATCCACCAGATATCCACATGGAAGAAAAATACCTTGACCCATAGGTCATATTATACATAAAAATTAAATTTCAGACCTAAATGTAAAAGCTAAAACTGTAAAGTATTTAGAAGAAAATTTAGGAGGATATTGCTGTGATCCAAGAAAGCAGAATGCAAAAGGCGTTTGGTGTACAGTAAAAATAATAAACTGGGGACGCCTGGGTGGCTCAGTGAGATAAGTGTCTGCCTTTGGCTCAGATCATTTTCTCAAGATCCTGGGATTGAGCCCCGCATTGGGCTCTCTGCTCAGAGGGGAGTGTGCTTCTCCCTCTCCCTCGGTGCTCTCTCTCTCTCACACAAACACATACACATGCATTCTCTCTCTCTCAAATAAATAAAAATCTTTAAAATATATAAATAGACTGGACTCCATCAAACATCAAAATTTAAAAATTTTTAAATTTTTCTTATGTACAGACACTGTTAGAAAATGAAAAAGGCAAGCCCCAGATTGGGAAAAAATATTAACTCTCTGTATATCCCAAAGGGCTCATATCCAGAATATATAAAGAACCCCAATAAATGAATAATAAAAAATAAAACAACACAAAAGTGGGAAATTAAGTTAGACACTTGGCAAAAGATGTTACTGAAATGGCCAATAAGTTAGTGAAAACATGCTTATGACCATCAGAGACATGCAAACTAAAACCATAATGATATATCACTTCACACCCACTGAATGGCTAAAATGAAAAAGAGTGACAATACCAAGTGTTGGTAAGGATATGGAGCAACTGAATCTCTTATATATGGCCAGTGGGAATGTAAAATTAAAACCACCATGGAAAAGTGTTTGGCAGTTTCTTATAAAGTGAAAAGTATACACAAACCTTCCAACCCAGCAATTATACTCCTGGGTATTTACTGTAAAGAAATATAAACTTATACCCCAAAAGTAATATTTGTATAAGAATGTTCATTGCAACTTTATTCATCAGAGCAAAACATCAGAAGGAATGCCAGTGTCCATCAGCAAGGAGTGGATAAATAAATTATGGTATATTCATAAAGTGGAATGCTACTCATTAATAAGGAATGAACTGGTAATACCTAGAACATGGATGAATTTCCAAAACAGGCAGTCAATAGGAAAGGGCACAGGGAGCTTTCTAGAGTTATGGCAATGTTTCATATCTTGAACATTTGTCAAAATGTGTCAAACTGTCACCCAAGATCTGTTTATTTTAGTGCATTTCATCGAACTTTAATTCAAAACAATTTTTGAAACCCTTCAAACTGAGATACCCAGCACAGTTAACTACCAGCATTTAGTGAGTTTTCATATTTAACTCCGGGACCTGAATACTAGTTATATCAACAATAACCATTGTTTATTGAACACTCTATTTCTCCTCTAGGTGGTATACCCAAGCACTGAATCACACTTCATTCATTCATCCAACGAATATTCAGTGCCAACTACGTGCCAGGCACTATTCTTGACACTTGGAATCTATCAGTAAACAAGAGAGACAAAAAA